TCTGTGATAGATCACTCAGTATTATAGACTCTAAGTCCATCCAAGTTGCTGTGCAGTTCAGAATTTTGTCCTTTTTATGACTGCATAATATTCCATCGTTATACATACCATATTTTTTAAATCCAGTCCTCTTTCAATGGGCAGCATGGTTGGTTCCGTGTTTTTGCTATTGTAAACAATGCTGCAACAAACATGTGTGTGCAGGTATCTTTTTCAAAGAGCGATTTGAGTTCCTCGGGGTATATTCTCACTGGGGGAATGCAGGGTCATATGGAAAGTCAATTTTTAGACCTTTTAGGAATCTCTGACTTCCATCCTTACCTGGCTTTTTTCTCCCTGTGTCTCCAGATCTCTCTCCTCATGAGGACACCAGTCATTGGATTTAGGACCCATACTAGTTTAGTATGACTTCATCTTAACTTTATTACATCTTCAAAGAGTCTATTTTCTAAATAAAATTACACTCACAGGTACCAGAGATTAGGATTTAAATATATCTTTTGGAAGGACACAACTCAACCCACAATACTAGGTATCACTATTCCTAACAATGTGATATAAATGTTTTCTTCCCTAGATTAAGATATAGGCAAAAATATCTACTTTTACCATAACCACTTCTATTCATTAGTGGAGTTGAGGTCATAGCCAGTGCAGTAAGGCAAGAAGGACAATAAAAGATATATGAATTGAAAAGAAAGAAAGACATTTATATGAAAATGATGTGTATACGTAACTCTAAGGATTCTACAGACTATTAGAGCTAATAGCTAGATTAGGATGTTTGCAGGATACAAAGTCAATAAAGAAAAATAAATTGTATGTTTACATACTAGCAATTAGAAAGTGAAATTTGAAAAACAATGCCATATAAGACTGCATAAAAGTCTATTTTAGCCTATTGGGGCTACTATAACAAAATACCATAGACTAGGTGACTTATATACAATAGAAGTTAATTTCTCACAGTTCTGTAGACTGGGAAGTCTGAGATAAGGGTGTCAGTGTGGTGGGGTTCTGGTGAGGGCTCTCTTCGAAGTTGCAGACAGCAGCCTTCTCATGGAGGAAGGTATAAACAAGATCCTTGGGGATCTCTTTTGTAAGGGCACCAATTCCATTCATGAGTGATTGTTATCATGATCTTATCACCTCCCAAAGGCCCCACCTCTGAATACTATCACCTTAGGAGTTAGGATGGCAGCATGAATTTTGAGAGGACACAGACATTCAGACCATAACAAAATCCATAGCATATATACAAAGCCTTTACACTGAGAACTGTAAAATATTTCTGAGACAAGTTAAAGAAGAATTAAAATAAAATTTAAAAGGTAGATCACATTTATGGATTAAAAGATCTAATATTGATGTCAGTTCTCAAATCGATCTAAAAGTTCAGTGCAATGTCAATCAAAATACCAGCAGGTACATAAGACACTTGAAGTATGAACAACAAAAGAAAATA